TTATTTATTTTATTTATTATTAACTTTATTTATTTTATTTATTGACTTTCTTAACTTAACTTTTATTAATTTTAATATAAATTTCATTTATAAGCTGTACTTTATACTTTGATTTCATGTCGAAATTAGATCCTGATCTGATATTGATGAATTCTGCTTACCAAGTAAAAATTCAGGAAAAGGTAGTGAGGATAAATAAATAGACAGTTTTATAAGCTGACTCCACTTCATATATTTATGTAATATAATATAGAATTTAATGTGAAATGCAACTTTATGCTTTAACAGCTATGTAAAAGACTTAGATAGAGAAATATGTTAATAAACAAATATTGGCATCTAAATACTAATTAAATGTATAATTAAATATGACTGTTGTTTAACAATTATTTATTTAATAGATTAAATAATATATTCAATTATTTGTTAAATTATTAGTTATTTATTAATTATTTATCTGCTTTTTATTTGAAATATTTAAATAATATAAATATAATTAAAAATAAACCGTTTTTAGTTAAACAAGTATGGCAATTTTATTTAAGTTTACTCATAATATTTGTCCGTAATTTAATTAAATAATTCAAAATATGCATATATATTGAATTAAAAAAGTAATTCTAATTAAAATAATATAATTTTATATTCTAGTCTCTCAGTAAAGTAATTTTCTAGTTTAACAAAGTTATTTTTAATAAATTTTACAACATATGTATATTATGCTCTATTGTCTATTCTTATAGAAATGTACTGTATCTATTGGTATACTGGTTTATTTAGTTCCGTATATTAAATTTAAAGAATTTATTTTTTCAGTTTTAATGAAATAGTTTAAATAAAAAACAAAAAAGTAGTGAAATTAAAGTAGATACTCGGTAAAAATCATTGTACTTAAGTTTCGCAAGGACGAAATCAATGCTAGATTTTAATACTAGGTATTATTATTGCGGCAAAAAATTTCAATATTGAAATTTCTTCATAATATTAAGAATTGCTATACAACTTAAGATTATGTAATGAATATCGATTACACAGTAATTACATAGGTATTTACAAGATTGTCTAAAATTGTCCGAAATTTCTTTAAAAATGGTATCTTGTTCTGACAAATATTTTAACCTTATTCTCAATTGCGGATAAAAATAAAAACATTAAGGGAACTATAATAAAAAGATCAATCTCAATTCAGGCCAACATGAACTTACACATAATAGGTTGTAGGTCACTTTAGAATGCAGCTAATTTTATAATGTGAGTATCATACGTATATTGAAGTACTTTACGTATAAATTTTATGCGATTTTGGTATATCGTTATAATGGCACTAGTGAAAAATTATTAAAAATTTTTAAATAATAAATACAATAGTTTATATTATTTGAGTATTATAAAATTTATAGTGCATGAGTTTGTGGAAATAATAATCAATAATAAAAGAAAATGCTATTTATAAATTAGTAGTATTCTAGTATTATAGTGTGGTTAGCAGTTTAGTAGTATTATAGTGTAGTTAGTATTTTAGTAGCATTTTAGTGTAGTAGTATTATAGTATAGTTCGTAGCTTAGTAGTATAGTAGTATCAAGTATGTTAAAATAAATTGAGTATCTGCCATATCAACGCACAAATTTTTCTAAAATATTAAATAAGTTTCAACTACACTATGTTTTAATATGTAATAAGTTTTAAAAGAATTTTTTTCGGAAAGCATAATGTTTGCATATAATCGCTTTTGGTCTAATTTAGGTTTTGTAAATATGGCAAACAAATATTTTTATTAATTTAGGTAATTTTGTATAGTTTTATATTATAATCATTGTGTAATTGTCATATGATTTTAAATATAATAAATAAAGCCTTAGAATTCTAATTTAAAATATAATTTTTCTCCCATTAGGTAACTAACGCGAATATATTGTAACAATTAAGACAATAGTATCATTACAAATGTAAATTAATTGGTTGAACATATAATTAATTCTTATTAAATAAAGCTTATATTTAAAAAAAATATATATAAATATATTTTAACCAAAATAGTTATTAAAATAATTAGATGATATACTTATGAATTTTAAAGATAAAAAAATTTCTTTTTTATTTTTATCGGCAGTGATAAGTATTTGTAATATATATATAAAAAAAATTACTATATACAGTGTATTTTATTTTAATTTTCTTCGGTTATTTGGCCGATATTCTGTTTCATATTATAAAACAAATCAGTATTGAGATAAATTAAGACTAAAATAATGCAGAAGTCGTCTCGATATAAAAAAATATTTTATTTAAGAATTCATTTGTGAATATTTTATGTTAAAAATACTATTTTTAATGCATTTTTTTAAATTTGTTTAATTTAGAACAGATTGCATTCAAATTTTAATAATTTCGGAAATAAATTTTGTTATAAAATATATATTGATTAAACATATAAAAATACAGAAGCGATTCTTACAGTATTCATTTTTATCAAGTAAACGTTAATAATAATTACTTAAGAATTTTTTTATTATGTTTTTTATATAGACAATCAACAAATTTTTGTTGCTACTTAACATATATGTAACCAATTTTCATTACCAAATTATGTTTAAACTTTCATGAATTTTAAGAAATAATAATTGTTATATAAATTATTAAAATTAAAAACTTGAGAATTTTAAAATATTTCATATACCATATATTAATCCAATTAATATTTACTAGTATTTTTTAAATAATAAAATTTTGATTTCCGATTTGTATATAGTTTAAAATAAATAAATAAGAAATTGGGTTTGTTTGGTATTAAATATATTGAGCTACTGTTAGATGTCTTTTTTCCATCTCTTTATCTTTATTTCGCCGCTTTTCTTAATGATAAAATATGCTTTTGATAATAGACCTATATTAATATTAATATCGTTTTATTATTCAGAAATATTAATTAAACATCGAATAATTTGTTTTTGTATATATATGCACATTACATCGCTAACAGACAGGATTAATATAACAAAAATTTCAAAAGCAGCTGTTATAGTTTAAATTTTATAGAATTATGAAAAAAAGATCGATATTATTTTACAACAATAAAAGTCTTTACTAAAATTATTCGATTTATTATTTATTTTCTCCATTAAAACCATATATTTACCTTTCACAGAATTTCGAGATAGATTTAAATATCATTACAAAAATAATATTTAATTATATTATTATTTAGATATAGGTTTGAAAAACAAATACAAAATTGAAAATAATAATTTCGATAACTTCATAAATATATAACAAATTTTTTTATTCTATTATTTATAATATTAATTACATTATTTATAGTACAACAATTATGTATATATTGGTATTTTGATCTATTTAAAGAAATTATTATAATTTTAGGAACTGTGTAATATTTAATATAACAAAATTAATGTTTATTATAAAAACATTTAATTAAAACTAGAACATATTTACAGTTTTTAAACTTCATTGTCTCTTATTGTAGAATAAAGTTAATAAATATGTTGTTAAATAAAATCAATTATTTAATTTAACAATTTTAATATATTACGTATTTACACATTTAATACCACTTTCAAGGAGAATAATAATGAATGGCTTGGCATAAAAGTGAATACAAGCCTCTCTCTTCTAAACTTCAAATAAAATAAGTCATCATTACTTTATAGTCAAGAATTCAGAAGGCTAGTTTCTCACATACTAATCATGATGATTTGTTGATTTAAGTACTGATAAAAATATTCAATTTTATTAATTAAATTTTGGTGCTCATGAATTATTTTTAAATTATAAATTTAATGACTATAATTAAAAATGTTTATTCATGATTTTTTTAATTAATAGTAAAAATAAAACTATTATGTATTACAAATATGCTATATTAAAATTGTATTCAAATGTTTTATATAAACTAATTAATAGAAAAATAAAACTTTTATTATCGTTTTTGTTGTTGCTATGACTTTTATTGGCATCTAGAATATAAAAATGTTTTCAGCTCCGTATAATAAAATGTCAGGATAGTAGAGTCAGTCATAAAGTTGAACATATTGATTTTTTTTAACTCTCTTTATCCATGGTAACTGTCTAATGAAATTTTTTTCAAGACATTATGAATTAACTGCAGTAAAATTTCCATAACGATCTTTTAATTGCATATAATGTTAATACTCCATATGTTAAGCTAATTTAATCCAAGAGTCAGACTAAATTATGGATAGATGTCTTTAAGCTTAAATTAATCACGACAAATATTGTAATCATTTTGCTGATGAAATGGTGTATTAAATTTTTTGTCGTGTAAATAAAATATGTAATTGTCTAAATGCCATGGAATACGAAAAATAAATAAATATTTAGGAAACGTTTAAAAAAAATCTAGTAAAATGGTTGCACTCCTAATAACGTATTAATGGCAAGATTAGCTAATAAATTAGAGCAGAAATACAATACAAACGTATGCATAGAATGCAATATACAATATATATCACAAAAAATGTACTATGGATAGATTTACCGTCAAGATTTCATTGTTAAACACAAATATCATTATTATTGATAAAATGTTTTTTTTTTAGTACATAACGAGTTCTTAAAATAAATATGTATAGTCTCTAATTTTTTTTCAAAGAAAAATCATTATCATTAAAATTATTAAGCATAAAAAAGAATAAAATTAGTACTTTACTATTGTAACATAAAAATTACGATAAAAAATTGAACTTCTACATTCCATATATTAGATTTATAATATTTTATATATATCATATAATTGTTATTAAATATATATAAGGGGCAGGTAAAATTTGAATCGTTTTAGTCAACTTTGTTCGATATATAAGAAGTGATACTATTATATAAAAAAATGTATTGATTAAAGAACTAATAAATGCAAAACTGTTTATTAAAAGTAAGGAAGTACAAATTTATTCAGATACTAATAAAAATATTTTAACAATAAAAATGTAATAATCAATTTTATAAAGTAAGATACTTAAAGGACAAATATTTATAAAATGAACTCAATCATTCGAAGGTGGATTTGTTGAACAAGTATATGACTATAAAGTTTTACCTTATGCTATCAAAACATAAATATTTGAAACTAATTTTAAATTTCGTAATTATAAATTCTTAATGAAAGAAACATATTATTATTACAAAGTAATTAAAAATAACTAATATTAAAATAAATAAAAAAAAAGCATGAAGTAAATAGATGAAAACTAAAAATAACGATTTCTTAAGACGTAATGAGTCAAAAATATACCTATATAAATTTCTAAATAAAAGTGTATCAATTTTAACGAATAATAGCTTTACAAAATCTGAGAATCAATTTTACTTTATTTCAAAAAGTTTTGTGTATATAAGGGAAAATAATTGCAATAATATAAAATTATTTATTCCGAAATATTCATAGATTGAAAAAATTGTACAATAGAAAAATTATTATATATTTTTAAAAACGTATCAATTTTTTTAACGTGTATAAAATAATTGAAAACTATTGTTAAAAATATTTCAATATTCGTAATAGAAATATTTACATTAAAGAATATAAATGTATTTTATTATTTTTAATCATTTTTTATACAATCTTTTATTGGAAAGAAATAGCTTTTGAAACATTATCAAATATTAATCATAACAAATTTAATATTTAAATTTTAATTTAATATATAAATATAATGTATTTACCATAATATTTATAGAGTATTATATTATTATTTAATTATTTTACTTTTTAGGATTATTTTACAAATTTAAGTAATTAAATTTTTTGATCTATATTTAGTTTATTGTATAGTAACATAAGTAAGTAAATATTATTTCAACTGCTATTTTATCATGATATAATACTATAAATAGTACTATGAAAATGAATGATGCAAGAGCTATTAATACAGATCGCAGAGTAGTTTATTCGTTATTTCAAATTTAAAACAAGTGGATATACACATACATACATACATCCATACATACATATATCTGTGCAGCATACATCCATACATACATATATGCATATATGGATAAATTCATATATATATATATTCACTCATGTTTATGCGAATGTCAATGTGTGATGTATGCATAAGTAAAATTTATAATTTTGTATATATTTTGCCCCTTTAAAATACAAATACAATAATGAATATTTTATTTACAATTGTGTTATGGTTGCAACTAGAAATAGGTAAGCTATTATAGTTCTTACTTTTTATATCTTATTATTTTATCTATCACTATACTTAATATAACTTTATTACTATAAAATTTCTTTTTAAATACCAAATTATAAAAGAAATGATTTTAGATATAATATTCATACTTATATTCAATATTTTTCTACATAAATTTGACTTTCTAGTATATATTATATAATTATTTTATACTCTATGATAATCATCAAAATATTCATTCTTTTAAAAAAAAGATACGATTATTTTTATATTATATTTATATCATGTGATTGTTATTAATAAATATATTACAAAATCAATTAATATTTGTAAATTTATAATATTCATAATTTGTATATAATTATAAAATTATAATAATGTGTATAATTTATAATGAAAGTTTTGAATTTATATTTAAATATGATTCTAATATCTACATGTATTTTATACGCAGTTATTTGAGTAAATATTATAGAATATAAATTATCATTTTATAAAATTTAAAATCCAAAAATCAATTATAATAGTTCATTCATATTTTTTTAAAAACATGTTCTATATTTATATATTACATTTGTATATCAGCCAAATAGAGAAACTAATCTGATTTTTTATGAAAAATTTTACTCTTTATTAATTTATATATAATAAGATATTTATATATAATAATTATATATAATTTATATATAATATATATACAACCAGTTTTCAAAATTGTTAGAAATTATCTTTTCTTATTTCTTTACGTTTTCAGCTGTTTTTGGGAAAAGTACTAGAATTATTGGCGGAGAACCGGTAGATATTAATAAACATGCATATATGGCTGCATTAAGAAATGTTATGCCAGATTATCATTTTTGCGGTGCGACTATTATTAGCAATAAACACATGCTTACAGCAGGTCATTGCTTGTACAATAAACTTGAAAACTTAAATAGGATCCGTGTTTATACTGGCAGTAATAGTCCAAGCTCGTATTCCGGTAAAGCACATAAAATTTTGCAGGTTCATGTTCATCCCGCATATAATGAAACGAAATCAACAAATCATGACTTAGCAATTCTTACGGTATATAAATGTACATCATATAATAATATACTAAAATAATTTGTTTATAATATATATATAGTTAATACAATTAATATACATTTTTAATTTTTATTAATTATAAATTATAAATATTCGACTTTCAAATTGTATAAAATAGTATATTATTAACAACAAATTATTAAAAGAAATGTTTAATATTGATAATTTAAATATTTACATGAAGTATTAATATTAAACATAATTTTATAGATATTTTATAATACAAATTTTAAATAATATTGTCAAATTAGTTAATATTCAATATAATAAATTAATGAATATTATATATATAACGAACAGTACTTTAATTTATTAATGTATGTTATTTTTATATTTGTAAGTTCATTGTTTTTATTAGCTTGGAATACAATGAGGGTTAATTAATATTAAACAAAACTTAATTATGAAAAGGTAAATAATATTTCATTGTTAAAACAACAGATATATCAATTAATAATATTAATAATAAATACAGTTCATTTATATAATTTGTAAGATATTAATATTATATACAAAAATTAATTATTATTAAATTGATTCAATCAAAAATAGAGTTAATAAGGATTTAGATTAAAATATTCTTTGCGTAAAATTGTACACGTAATTGTAAATTTTTATTTTGTAGTTAAAAGATCCTTTAATATTTGGACCAACTCATAAAAGTGTAGCACTTCCAATAGAAAATATTCGCGAAGGTAGTTTTGCTGTTGCTCTTGGATGGGGACTCTCACAATATCCGTCAACAACCTGCTCGAATGTTTTGCGTAAAACTCGTCTAAAAATTTGGAATGTGTCTAAATGTAAAGAATTTTTTGGATCTCTTCAAAAACAACAATTTTGCGCATTTGATAAAGCAGGAGTTGGTATATGCCACGTATGTATACATTATTGCTTTTATATCTTATTATGTATCATTGATTATTTATTCTAATGTAGTTTTTCATATTTGAATATATCAAAAGATTTTGAAAAATAATAAAAAATTCCGGTTAAAATAATTCCTAGTGTGAATTAATAAATCAAAATTTTATAATAACAAATATTTAAAAATAATTGTTTATTTTAATTTAATAGGGTGACAGTGGTGGACCATTGATTATTAATGGAAGAGTTATAGGCATTACTTCAATTAATTTTCCATGCGCAAAGGGGTATCCTGACATTTTTGTTAATGTTTTTGACTACTTGGGATTTATCAAACATATTATTGACAAATGATGTAAATAAAAAAAAGTATTAATATGATTTTAATGAATTTTAATATGACCTTATACTCCCATTTATATTTTTGCATTTAGTTAGAAATAATTTATTTTAAAAAATTGCACATCTGTTTCTGTATAAAATAATCATGAAATGAAAAATATATTAATGCAATATTTTTTTCGGAATATAATATGTATTATAATACGCAAAGCTTAAAAAACATACTTTTTCATGTGCAGTATTTAAACACATAAGCAATATTAAATTAACACGTAAAATTCATTTAATTACAAACTCGTTGTTTTTTATATAGCAATAAACATATATATATTATTTTAATATGTGTATATTTTAACTATATTTAAATAAGACAAATATAAAATAATAATATAGAGATTTTTATATTTATTTATTTATAATTAATTAAAATAATTTTTTATTAACATAAAATGGCTATATTTGTAGGTTGCAATTGTATTATTATTTGAAAGAAATGGTTTTAAATAACAAAGATATGTATATGGGAAATTATATTAAGTAATTTTTTCATAACTTTTAGTCTTATTTATGAATTATTTACTGCAATAAAAGATAAGATTTTCAGTTACATTTCAATATATTATCTACGTTATCTTTAAGATTTTACTATTTCACTATTAAAAAAATAATTATTAATACATTCTATTTTTCATTTTACAAATTATTATGTAATTTAATGAAATTGATGTCAAAAGTGAAAAATAAAATTATTATTAGGTAAGGAGAAAATATTATATATGTTGAAGATTGTGATACTAATGCCATTCTATTTGAAACATGTTCTTCACGGTGTAATTTAGCGATTAAAATATGATAGTGTATATAATTAATTTATGGGAAAGTGTAAATATTATAAATGATGAAGTAATTCATTTTATGAAATTTTTTTATTAAATATATTGTAACTATTTAAAAAATATTTTAAATTTGCATTTTCATTATTTCCAAAGATTTTATAAAAGATTGTTATGGTAATATACTTTTATTGAATGATCAACAAATAAATTTTATATTGATTTTTTTTTAAACATGTTCTTTTTTCAATTTAAGAAAATATAATTTAATAATATTTTAAATTATAATCATATATTTAAGCGTACATAAATCATGTGTGTAATTAAAAAGTAACGTACATTTATTATATTATATATACAAGACTATTAATTTAGATATGCTCTTTGCGAGTAGATATAAATTAGGATATATAAATAGGAGATTGCTTGCGTATTCAAGTCTATTGATAATATGTAAGTATATCATATACTTACAAGTTTATAACATTTGACTTTATTAAATTGACAGATTAAATCTTAAAAATTTTATTTCAAATAATGTAAAAATCAAAACATGAATATCTTGGAACTCTATTAACGTTAATAAATAATGTCATTTTTTCAGAGTTATGAAGAATTTATTTAACTGAATAATGTTATACCAAGTATAATCTTAATATTTCATAACCCGGTATACAAAAAACAAAATAATACGAGGGTATTCCTCTATTGATGAATTTATAATATAAATTTTACTTACCTATTTGCCATATACATATATTTATCACGAGAAGACTACTCTCTTTGATAGAAAGCGTACCCATTAGGAGCGCTCCAAGTACAGACGCTAGCGAGAGCTGCTCTAAGTACAAACGGCGAAGGCGGAGACTAGACTAGACGGACTAGACTTCAAGGATCCTGTGCTAAGACGTACTTCTCATACGAGCGGCTATAGCCACATCATACTCACTAGAGTTGATGTCAAGGATCTAGTGTCAACGTACAACTTCTCAAGGAGGAGACCACAATCAAGTTATCACCACGTGATACTACATGAAGAAGTGTTAAAATATTACTTCTAAGTGTAATAATTTACTAACAAGCGCACTAGGTTAAGAGGATCTGGAGCATTACGACCTTCTATCTCTACGTATAGTGCATGATAACACCACGAAGCAACCACCACGGAACTGCAAGATCACCACGATTCTCAACACCAACGTAGAATCATTCTAGTGTAATTTGTAAAGAAAAAACGGAATAAACAGCACGAAAAGCAGATGTGTTAAAAATTGAATTAATGCGTTACCCCTTCCATTGGCCCGCAATTTTTCTTCCACCTTTACAACTGGTGGTTTTAGTCTAATCCAGTTATCTTGGTCCTTCGATTACCGGATGAATGGAATTCTAAACACAAAGATATGATTATGATTAGATATGATTACTAAAGTTTACATGTGATAAACATAAACTCTCGTATCAATTTGCAGAACTACAGATTTATACTCAGTATGCTGTAATGCTTATAAATATTATTTATATATATATATATATATATATATATATATATATCTTTTATTACATTTGTACATACATACACTTTGAGGCCATACGTCCGGTACATACCTGTGTGCAAACATATCCTTTGAGACCACCTGTTCGGTACAGTCGTGTTTGCATACATATTTTGAGGCCACATCCTATACAGGAGTATGTGCATATTTCTGCTAATCCTTACAACATTAGCAGAGACCACGACATCGTCACCATCAAGGACCAACCACATTATTGCGACAAGACAAAGCTTACACTATTTTGTAAGAAGTGAATGCTGCTTATTGTTAATGTAACTGATAATAAACCATCTGTTCATGAAATTTGCACATACTACACATTTCTACTACCCTTCCATTTGACTCCCACCCAAAAATCTGCTAGGGCGGGCGGCAAATTATTAAAGCTATCGAAACATTGGCAGTTCGAGCGAAGAAATAATATCACTTACGAACAGCAACATATATAAAGTTTATTTATATATAAATTTATATATAAAATTTATTTATCAATTTTGTAAATAATTAGATTTATTAGTGAAAATGGTGAAGTATCCTTAAACTAAAGAAGTTTAAAATTAATTTTCAGGAAACGATTTTAAATTAAAATTTATCACTGTTATTAATCTTTGAAATGATTATAAAATTTTTGAAAAGTTAAAAATTTATTATAATACATTACAAATAAAATAAAGTATATTTATATTATTTTACAGGTCATAAATTCACAAAAAAAAGAATTAGACATTTCTATAAACAGCAAACTATTAAAATAATACAGTGTCTTCGAGATTAAAAGAATCCCTCGTCTGTTATTACTTTGAGGAAAATTACCAAAGGCTATCACTTCAAGGAAATTATTCATCGGTCATAATTTCTAAGAATTGTTGAACAATCCTTTGAGGTTCGGAAAGGTCGCACAATGATCGGCCTCTTTGTTGTCAGTCAACAGAACGCCGCGGCGCTATTTGTGTGAGAACATTTCGAGAGTGTTAGATATATGAAAACAATCAAGTCGAAAAATATGTCATACAAATCATTTTAACTAAAAACCCAGTTCATGCGACATCGGACAATAGTCGGCAACGTGTGCCTTCAATCTCACGAGAGATAACGCATACATTGTTGTCAAGTACTACACATGTTGCCGCTTGTTGAAACCAAGTAGCGACTTCTGGACCAAGAGCTCCTTTCGTCGCGAAGTCCAAGAGAAGGGTGAGCCTCCCAATTGAAGACAATGCCGTTAGAGGCGCTTTTTTCGATGTTGTTATTGTCAAAGTCTAACTCCTTCTGAATTCGGAAGACAGGCGTGTACGCCTAGTCGTATCGCCTAAAACGGTGCACTCTGATTGGAAAAACTAAGGCATAGGAGCTCCTTGAGGAACTCACTGCAGAGGCCTTAAAAGTGGGAACGACACAGACACAAGCAGCTGTCTAAGCAGAGAAGCCAGGAACAAAGCAACAGTAGCAACCTTACTAAAAAATATGGTCAAGATAAAGGAATACGAATAAAACACCACATTGCCATCGCCAACTCTTTCGAGACTAGGATGCCGCAAGACGACGAATAAGAACAGCATCGCCAGCCCCTTCGAGACTAGGATAACAGTGAGCCACCCATCACAGGAACAAATGAAGGCTACTGCATCGCTGTGAGTATACATATCCGCATTGCCATCGCCAGTTCATCTAAGACTGGGATGATGCAATCATTACACAATATAGAACACTCGCTAAAGGGAAGTGTTCCACTCAATTAGTGATTCTTACAAAATTAACAGCAAATCATAGAAGTCAAGGAGCATGTTGTGCAGTGAAACATCCATCACAAGAACCGTTGGAAACAATCGTATTTTTATAATTAAATTTAGGATACATCCAATACATCAATAATGTAATTGTAAATAAATTATAAATAAACCATATATTCATCAAAACTCACAATATTTGTACAGCCATTCCACTTAACATTTGCATTGCAAATAAGCATTTTCTAGAGCGGGCGGCAAATATAAGCTATCGAACATTGGCGGTTCGAGACAAGAAAACTACAACTTCGAACACATTAATAAAATCTTGGTATGTATGATCAATATGTATTATTCAAGTTTTAAATATTATTAACAAAACAGTTACAAACTATAAACATATCTATAAAATTCATAAAATTCGTAAGAAATTTAATGCTGAAAATTATATATTATGAATATAGTGTCTGTATGCTGTGTATACAAAGAGAAAACATTTGTATTTAAATCAATTTGAAAATTTTTTTTTAAACTATTAATTTAAAAAATTGATACTGTTTTATAAAAGTCGAAAATAGTTATTACTTCAATATGGACATTTGTTCGAAATTGCGACAACCCTTCTCAAGTCATTAGACATTTGACAAAACCCAAGTTTCACAGACATCTGGGGAAAGCTCAAGAGTGTTAGCCATCTGGGGAAAAAGTCGTTACATAAAAAATAAAAAATAAGTGCATAGTTGCTCCACTGCTGGTAGCACCACAATATAAAATATTCAGAAACATAGAGGCTCCCTTTGGGGGCATGCCGTGGAAGGAAGACGGTCTGTCTTAGCAGAAGCCATGGAAGCGGCGCTCTCGCAGTAGAGACGCCACAGGAGACACAGCCACAGTGGGGTCGTCAAGGAAGAAGGAAGCTCTCTATGTAGAGTTGTTACTCAATTTACTCTGTGCCATTGCACAGCAGTTCAAGGTTCTTAGTCACCTATCACTAGGTAGAGTAGACTCGGTAGAGTTTCTCAAGGATTCAGTGTCAACGCGCACATTTTCAAGGATTCAGTACCACCACGCACTTTCTCAAGGAGGAAACCTCAAGTAGGTGATCACCACATCGCATTACATAAACAAGTGTTTAGAGATTTACTCACACTTCTCCGTGTAAATATCCACCACCAAGCGCATGCCATCAAGAGGATCCGGAGATTTACAACCTACTACCTCTACAAGTACTGCATGCTGACACCACGTGGCAACAATTAAGAAACTGCTAGATCTCAACGATTCTCATCATCAACGGAGAATCATTATAGTGTAGTTATAAAATAAAACACAATAAACAGCACGAAAAGCAGATGTGTTAAATACTGAATAGAAGCTCTTTTCTCCCACTAATAAACTGGTGGACTTAGTCTAATTCTAAACTCATTAAATTTTTAGAAAAAATGACAAATAGTAATAAAATGTATTAATTAAATATTTATTGTTTTTATAATATAATTAATCATTTAGATTGAGATATAAATTGAAAACAAAACAACTCATAATAAAAAATTGAACATTTGTAATGTATTTTTATTATTTTAAAAATTTATAAAATTCAATTAAAAATATAACACAATAAAAATTTTAGTTAAAAAAACTTATGTTTATAATTTTTTAATAAATAATTTTTAATAAAATATATTAAGATGGCATTGAACGTATTATCGTTTGATAATCAATTGTAATTTTAATATATTTATGGACGTGCAAAATATAAAGCATATAGTGCAAAACACAAAGTTTGTGTTCTTTCATTTAATGAATATACTTAGTTTAAATTTTCATATTAATTTAGGTACTCATTGCATCAAACATTCAGTTTCTAAACAATTTTTAAAATATATTAATTTTTATTTGTAGCTATGTAAATTAAACCATCATATCTTTTCTACCTCTGTATATAAATTTATTTTACAAGTTTTATTATGTTTTTTTGATAAATAAATTATTAGTAAAAATATGTTCAAAAAAATATATATTAATCGATATTATTTTTTTTGACAAAAAATAGTATGAATGTTTTTTTATTTTGGACATTTGTATTAAAAGAGAAAGAGAGGGAAATGCCCATAATAATTGTATTCATTCTTCATAAAAAATAGATTCAATAAATTGATAAAAATATAAGAATTATCGTTCTATTAAAATCGTATAGTAAATATTGAATAAAGTGAATAATATAAAGTTAATTTTCAATATATGTAAATTATACACACATATACTTGTAATAAATAGGAATTTATTTCTAATGAATCAATACCCAATTAATTTGTTTATATCTAATGATCTTTTTTATAAAATTATTATCAACCTAATAAGATTTTTATTAATTTGTTGAAATTCATTATTGTAAATAAAATGTTTATATTATTTATTATTAATATAAAATTAATTTGATTAATCATTAAGAATTATAATTATAATAACAAAATCATTAGTTTCCATAGACTCATAAAATATTAATCTTATTCAAGGATTTAGAAATAATGGACTGAAAGAATAGTTTATACTTATACAAAAGTATTAATAACTTTATTTATTATGTATAAAAATATAATATATAGTACAATTTATTACAAAATAGGTGATAGTATAGTATCTCTTCAATATTTAAAATTATTCTTAATAAGAAATTAGGTTATTTTTAGCATTTTCTTGATTTATAAATAATTTCATTAAAAAAAAAAAAAAAAGAAACATGTACATATATATGAATAAATGAAATCTTCTAAAGGCAATAGCCAATTAATATTAAATTAAATCATAAATTACACATTGATACACAACTATACACGCATGATTTTAAAAGAAAAAAATTAATTTAAAATTAAAATCGAGCAAGCTTAATACTAGCATAAATCACGTAATCTATAAATACGTGCTATTTTGTTTATATATACTCATATAATCATTTACATTTTTGTCATTTTTGCACATAAATGCGGAGTTGCAAAGTATTTTTCGTAACTAATGGCTTATTCGCTTTTTAGTCTATTTTATTTTCTGTACATTAAGATCAATTAAAAAAAATAATCATATTGAAAATTATTAACAATAATTTACTTTAAATTTCTAACGCAAGACATACATTTTTATTCGTTAATATATTTCTATCTTAATAATAATGATTTTTATTATTTTTTTAAGTTATTTTATAATAACATTTAATTTTATTATTTCTATAAAAATAAATCAAAATTTTGAAAAATGAATTTCATTTGAATGCGGTTATGACTCTTTTGGAATCCATCGGCTACCGTTTATATATAAATAAAAAAAATTTATATGTGATTGATCGATTGCCTGGTATACTAGTACACTCATTCACAGCTTTAATTTTTAATGCCATATGAAATAATAAAGCCAGTGATTGAATGACAAGAAGATAATCACAGCGATTGTATAAAATACATATATTTCGTACTTATAAATTCAAACAGTATTCAACGCGTATTTCTATGACTTTTAGTACTTGGAATAACAAATACGGAACTTGTAATTCGGAATTTATAATATATTTGTTGCAATATTTGACAAAAAACGTAGCTCAAACATTCTATTTAAATTTTTCGTTTTACATATTGTTTATAATACACATGCATGATATACAAAATATTTTTTGATTAAAGTAAACTTGTTTTTACAGCAGACAAAATTTTTGTTTTTCTCTATCTATCTTTTCCTTCATACAAATTAATTTAACTATTTCCTGTTACAATGTTCCAATAGTATTTTTCAGTCTTAGTTATATAATTCAGTTTTACCTTATACTTGAATATTTATAACATTACTATTAACTAATAACTAACTTAATTAACTAAATTAATTAACTTTTAAATTTAAAAGAACTTCTAAATTTTCAAATCATATTTATTCATCCAAACAGTACAAAATGATGTATTTTTATTGCTTTTTTGTTGAAATTTAAAATAACTATGTAGAACAAATATAAATATAAATGAATAAAAGTAACAATTAATTTCAAATTGTGTTCACTAATCCCTTTATATTGATGCCTTTTCATAAACAATCTTTTTCATGGTAATAAAATTATACAGAAATCTATGTTAACTTACATTTTGTAATTGAGAATAACATTCTAATTATTTATATATATATATTTATATTGTGTATATTTTTTTGAAAACAAAATATTCTAAGCACACAAAAAATTTAATCTCTGCTTCACAATTGTTATGACAAAATATACATTATAGAAGCCTACCCAATAGCTAGCTACATATTAATAGAAGAGTTAATGTTACAAATGAGTATATAATAATATAATAAATATAATAGCAAAGTTTATTTGTATTCTTTACTTGCTCACGTAGTTCTCTTATCGTAAAATTTTTTGTTTCTTCATTTTTCATCTAATTATTCTAACTAAAAAAAGTAATGCCATTGTAATCCAAGTATTCTTGTTGACTGAACCGGATGTTAAGAAAGAAGTATTGCTGTCATACAATAACTTTTTGCGTACTGAATGTCTCATTTCTGCAGAATGGGACTTGTTCTTGACATTTTCTATTTCAGCGTCTTTTGATAGTAATATCAAGGATTTGTTGTGTTGAGATTTACACATGCATGGAGTTTCAAAATCTTGGTGCTTTTGAATTATATAAGGGTAATAGGATTCAATTGATGTTTCTGGTAAAATCGTTCCTTTGGTATTTATGCAGAGTGATTTAAAGGTGCCAGTGCGCATTGCCATCGTGAAGTTATGAAAACTCTTCTGCCAGTTATAGGTAATGAGGTGTTCTTCCAGTGTCATACCCTTCAGTTCCGTTGGTGAGATTATCTTTAGCGGGCTTGGTCCACTATGCATGTACATAAAATTTGAGTTTTATAGTTTCATTAAGATTTCCTTTATTAATTTTAGGATTCTTTAAAATTGAATTTGATTAACATACTTTAAATAATTAAATGTACTAACTATTTAAAATTATGAATCTATTTATAATATACTAACTTCAATTACCAAAATTTCTATTAATACTTACTCAAGTTTATTTATTCCAAGACTGCGAAGAATAGTTGAAAGAGCTGGAAGCGAGTAGCAAAGGGATAAATCGATTTTTGGATAATATAAAACCGTGACTAGACAAGTTTCTTCTTTTGTTGTTAATCCACCCAATGTAATGGTTTGTCTTGTTTGAGAAGAATAAGTACATTCTGAAATTAAATGATCTCCCTGCAATGTGTAATAAATACTTATTTCATCAAATAACTAAATGAATTTATAACTAAAAGAAACTCTTGCTTCATTGACATATTTAACGTATGTAATAAAATATTTTGTATGTAAATGATCTAAAAATATTAAAAAATAATATTTTTATATTTTATAAATAATTAATAACTTTAAATAACATTAATTTTAATAAAGTTTTAAATGAATGATGAATTAGAAATATTTACTTAATTGTTAAATAATATAATGTTATTCTTTATTATAAATTTCGGCTGAATAAATAATGGAATTAGTCTTTTGATTCTAAGTGAATGAAACTTGTCTTTTAAATCATTAAATTTTTATAATACCTTAAATACGTAACAAATAATATATAAAAAATTATAAGATACAAATATAATTATATATAAGTCTCATATTTGAACCACAATAAATCTATTTGGAAAACTTACTGGGAAAATCTTAATGAGTTTCTGTAATTTTCTATATTCTTGATAATTAGGATCATAGCTAGAATCTGCAACAATTGGTGGCATTTCCTTGCCATCTCTAATTTGTCTCACTTTCATTTTTTTTCCTAATTGATGCATATGCATAATTACAGCAAATATGTTAACACCATCGTCTGGTATTGCATATTCCGTGCATCTAGCTATACAGTGACCTTGGGATATGACCTCTAACTGACCAGGTGGTATAATGTGACGCCAATTCGGATCAATTCCAATTCTTAGTACACCAGCATCATGCGTACGTAGTTTCTCTGTATAGAAAAGCCTTAGGCCCGAATTATTTATGTCAAAAGAGTCCAATTGAGGATTCGCGAAATGCGTTTCTAGCATATAGAAGCGTGGTCCTATATGCGGGTCTAATGAATAACCGACTTCCGATGGATAATTGAAACCCTATGACAACATTAAGAAGAAGTTTTAATATTTTTTTTCTTCCAGATCGATGTCATCGGTAATCTTTGGGAGGATAATTTCTGAGTAATTTTTTCTTATGTAAATATAGGTAAAGTGATTTCTAATTTATTTAATATATTTAAACTTTGTTTATTGGGTTTCAAATAATACTCATCTATTAATAATTTATTTATTTTTAGAAATCAATAAGTATAAAAAATGAATATTCCTAAAAATAGAATTTTAAATAAATTTTATCTATTATAATCATTATTTTTAAAAAAATATATACTTTATAAAATTTAATCAGATTTATTATCAACAATTTATTTATTAAACAATTTTATAAAATTGATTTTGTTTAAACGTGCATTGTCTAAATATTAGATAACCATGAAGAGGTGAATTTATCTTCTGACATCATTAAGAATAAAAACAAAGAATAATTTTAGCTTCGTTTCCTTTTTTACCTATTTGCTTCAAAATGAAATTTCATTATTTTGCAAATACATAAATCTCAAAAGTAATTATCTAAATTATCAAAATAGAATAAAAATAGCAAAAACGAAAAAAATTAGTTCAATAATTTGACATGCATATATACGAATAAGTCTCGAAGTAATGGCAATACGTTGCGTTCTTCCGTTAGATTTAAAGAAAAAATAAAACAAGTAGAATCTTTACTAGTATCAGAAATAATAATATAAATTAATTGAATTATTTAGGAAAACAATAATTTTTAACTACTATTACTTAAAATATTAACTTAATTAAAATTGTTAGATGCAGTACTGATTATAAAAGAAGTACATGATTACAAATACGTTTGTGATACTAACCTCTGATCCTAAACTCCAGATTATAGCAATGGTATTGCACTGTATGTGTAGCCTATCGTTCGAAGAGCAATTCATGCTATTATATTTTTTTACTTCCTTCAGCATAACTTCATCCCCACGACATTCATATAAGGTCATGTGATAAAGATAACTCTTACTTCCGGGTTCAATAATGGGTTCATACTGATATTAAAAGAATAGAAATGCAGTTTAGATTTAAATTTACGTATGCGAATTAGCGCGTAAAAAAATGGAATCGAATTGAAATATCAATCAAATTATAATGTATAACAACTTTACTTTTCAATTCTATTTGAATTAACAAAAAGAAATAATTAAAAAATTTGTTATTACCAATTCTTGTTCAAAGTTCAAAGTTCAATTTTATGTACATATAAATTAAAAAAAGAGTATAAATATATTTGTACAGACAAATATTGTTATAGTTTTGCATTATCTTTTTTCTTTTTTTTGTTATTAATAATATTAGTATTAATTTTATTAGAATATATTTTTTCTTCCTTTCCGCAAATTAAAAATTCTTAATATACTTTCTGTCTCCACTGTTTTTAAAAGTAAATTTACATCTCTATCTTACTAATATTTTTATATTTATCAATCCATTTATTTTCTTTATTTTTAATTATTTTCATTAATGTTTTTGTAGCATTTGTAGAATTTTTTTATATCTACAAATTTTTCTTTTACACAATTCAGTAAATTAATTTTCCTAATCCTTGTCTAGAATTCTGCTCACATTCCAGGTTCATTTTCTTTTTTCCTATACATTTATTAATGAGAATTTGCTTTCAATTCATTACTTTTCATCATATTTTATTCTCTTATTATATAGCATCACTTTTATTTAATTTATTTTATTCTTTTCGAAAATAATATAGTAGCATTACTTTGATTAATTTGAGTGTACACTTTATGTATTTTCTTATTAAGTTATTTAAAAATGTTTCTTTATCTGTACTTTAATTCAATTTGTACATGTTTTAATTATTTTATAATATTAAAAAAAATGTTATATTCTATTATCAATTGTTTTTACTTCTCTTTTTCAAATATTATCATTTTATTTTTCAATATTTTGGTATACATTTTATCTGTGCAAGTATTTTCTAATCTTTGATATTTTTGTCTTCTTTTTTAACAAGACTGTGTAATCATTGTGTATCATTGATCATATTTAAATCTTTATCTGTAATTATTATTTTCTAATTTACTCATTAAAATTTTGCATATAAAATATATCAATAAGACAATTCATAGAACACATAAATTGTTCTTTTTATATTTTTATATTGTATTTACATTGTTCGTTATACTTTTTGGATTATTCAGAATGATGTCAATTTTCTTTAAATTTTACAATATATTTATTATATACTATGTTTATCTATTTTGTTATTACTTTATTGTCATGTGCTGTGTATTGTAAATGCTTTAGTGCGTTCAACTTTGATTAATAATCATATTTTTTATATTACTTTGTAGTTTTTCACACGTATCATCCTATTTATATAATCTCTTCTTAAAATATTGATAAACGGCTATGCTCCTTTTGAGATATACAGATATTTAATATTTTTTGTTCTCCGTTTTTCTTTTTTTATATTCTATTTTTGTAAATTTTAGGCATATACTTTTGTCAAGAATTGCTTTTATTTTTTTATATTCCATTTGATCTCTTATTTTTTGGCCTACTTTTTCACTTTTGAAATAATATATTTAGTTATTCACTAATTAGTAAATCCATTTTTTGTTTGTAGTTTGTATTTGTTTCCTATTTTTTATTAATTAAAATTTCTCTATATATAATCTTGTTACTGTGTACTGTTCATTTAAATTTTATTATTACTTTTTTAATATCTGTAAATTTTATATATTTTGTTTAACCATCATTGTTTGTTTTTTCTCCATACTAAACCATTTAGCTATATTCTTTAAATAATTTTTTTTCAAATAATGGATTTAAGCAAATACTGCAAAATTTATTTTTAGTATTATTCAACGTTAATATAAATATAATAAAAAGAATGCTTTTTCTGATTCTTATTAGTAATGTAACACATAATTGATATACAAAAATATGTTTATATAACAAAACAAAACAAAATTAATTTAATTTAAATACAAATAAAAATATTTACCCTAAATACATGGTGCTTCTGTAGGATCTTTGGGAGACTAAAAACACGACATTGGAGAAAAGAATTTTGATCCATAGGTAAATTAACCTAAAAATTCAATAATTTACTTTTTTTACTTGTTCGAATTTTATTTCATATTAAATTCTTAATATATTCTTGATATTTTGAAATAAATAAATAATGCAATTTAAATTTTAAATGTTGAAATAATTTAAATTCATACTTATAAAATTTTATTTTTATTCAATTTTTATAACTTTAACACTATTGAATAAAAAGCAAAAAAGGGAAAAGAACAAAATACATATAATATTTAATTTAGTGTCAAAATAATATACAAACTTAAAAATATATAAGATCGATAAAAAATAAAAAATGTAAATTTTATAATTATTTTTAAAATTAGAGTTTTCTTGTTTTTTTCTTGATTTAAATTAAGATACAATTTCCATATTTCTAATCTTTAGGTCTCTTAGTTTCAACTTTTGCGGATCTGCATTAAAGATTATGGATATTCTTGAGACATAAATTTCATATGAATAATCCATTAAATTAATGTATTTAAAAAAATATCAATTTAATATGTAATAGTTAATTTCTTATTTCATTAGTTGTTCTAAAATTGTATACATGAAAAGCTTAATATTATGAAATATTGATTTCTTATATAATTTTGTACTATTCATTAATATAGGAAAGATATCAAATATATGTTTCAAAATTAATAAAAATTAAGGAGCTTGACTTATTATATTTAAGTAATAATAAGAATTTACTTCTAAATAATATAAATTGATTTGGTTATTATATATACAATTTTATAATTAAAAAATTTTCCATTGCAGTTTGATATGAAAATAATCAGATTTACATTATCCTATAACAAAATTTTCATAATATTATAATTATATGAAGAAATTAATTGTATAGTTATAATAATAAAAATTTTATAATTAAAACTCTTTATCTAAAATAAATTTAATAAAGAACTGTCTTAATTTTAACAACACCTTATTGAAACAAGTGTATACTTCCATATGAATATATTGATTTACTTGAGCATTAAAGATGTTCCAAATATGAAATGGATCTTCGGCCTCATGGTTATACTCAGAGTTGCGCCGTCTATAAACGTTGCGTTGTATGAGATATAGCGGTTGTACACCATGCACTACACCGTCCATAGGAAGTAAGCTTGCTGCAGATACAGGCTCGTCAACATGGTACTGCCATATAATTTGTAGAGTATCATTCTGTCAGATACAACCAAAGCAAAATAATTAGAAAATTCCATTATGCCCTTTTTTTGTTTGTCCATTAAAATTATAAGTGAGCAGTAAAATATGTACACATAAAAAAATATTTTAATCTGTAAAAAATATGAGAACTCTAATAATTTTTAATAAATATTCAAATTATTATAAATCATCATGATATAAAAGATTACATTAAATTACAGATAATTTTATCAAAAATTAGTTGCATTATGTGGTCGGCCATGTTTTATTATGCATTTAAAAAATATATTTCTTCAGATAATCTCTCTATTACTTCTTTATATCTGTTTAAAATTACTGATAGTTTTATTTGCCAATATACAAATGTATCTTTTTTTCGCAAGCATTTTCGGTGTTATTTATTTACAGTGATAATGAATTTACAACACTATAGAGCAGAATATATCTTTCATGCCTATGTTGTGTTTTTATTCTTCTGTATATAATTCGATAAAAGCTTTAGCTCTTCAATCTTGATTTTGATACTCGTAGTCGATCTCAAAGCAGAGTTGCCCTTATATATTCTTTTCTTTTAATAATATTTTTTGTATTTCTAATTACATTAATCAATAATAAAAAGAATAAATTGAAAAAGTATAACGTACAGTTAAATTTGTATATAAAACGGATTAAAAAAATTAAAATAATGATTATATAAATTTAGCTACATCATTTCCTAAAAATATGACAGTTAAAAAATAATGTGTCATCTGCCAATACAAATACCAGTTAAACAAACTTATAGAGTATATAATAAATTTTTTTGTTTAATTAATAATACTAGAATTCATTTATATGAAAATAATAGAATCAAGAATGTATTTATATACGAATTGAATTTACCTTCAAATAAAAAAAATTTTTTTAACGATAATATATATTATTAAAAATTTGGTTTCTATCGAAAGCCATGAAAATTTCTAATACTTTCTTTTATATACACTTGGCTAATACAATCTTAGTCATTTTATTTAAGCCGTAAAATATAATTTTTAAATACCTACATTCTGCAACACTAGTTACAAAAAATATAGAAAATACAGTTTTTTCTCTTAGTTTTTTGTAAATGTAAAGACATTAGAACAAGAAAATCTAATGTTTCCAGTACTGATATTGACAAATTTGTTTAAAACGAGTAAGATTCGTTGAAAAATGAGACTTGCATATAACAAATACGAGTGGAAAAATAACAAAGTAAAAATATCCTTATGGATTATTAAGCTAATGAAATTTGAGCTGAATAGGAAACAATTTAAATCTAAAAAACAAAAAATTATAAAATTATAATAATAAAAAGTAAGAGGAATAGATAGCCAAGTATGCTTATCTTGATATTGTAAATTCTATATTTTTTTAAAATGATGATAGAGCGTACGTGATTTTAAATTTTATTGTCAGTTAATAACGTAAAACTAGACTTTATAGACATTTCTAATTCTATTTTGTAGACTAACATGATTTATGCATAGAATACTAATAAGCGATGAAAATGTTTTTTATTTCGAAAATTGAGATAAATGAATTATTTTTTAACATAGATCTATTAATTGTAAACAAAAACATTTTATAAATAAAAATTAGAAACACGTATAATTTATATTTTAATAAATAGAAGACAAAAATTTTAAAAAGTGCATATTTTAAATGATTTGACATTATTAGATGACATTATTATACCGAAATGTTTGTTTATGAAATAATTTATTTTTACGATAAAATAAGATACGCTTTTTAATTTTATATTTATAGAGAAGTCAAACTAAGCAGAAGGCATTAATTGTTAAAATGAATCACCGTAATTTCCAGATCCCGATTATCACATGTGTTATAACGGCGATTAAATCGCAGCACAGTGTGTGTCTCATTTTCATAACCTGATTGTAAATGGTAATCTTGACTTGAGTCCATCTGCGGAACACGGTTGGCACCTTTTATATGACGATCCTAAAACAAAAAACAAAAAATATTTTGGTTTAATTTAACTTTATATAAAATATATTACAATAAACGTTCAAACTATATATATACTTCTTATACGAATTAATTTTGTTATTCAAAGTTAAAAAGACTAAATATTTGTTGCAATTTCTTTTATATGGTTTATTTTTTATAAAAAAAAAATAATTATAGGGTATTACTAAGATATTAAAAAATCCCGATATCTTCTCCGTTCTTTCTCTTTCGTTTATATATATATTACTTATATTTACATTAACTTAAATGAGAGGTATGCTCTCGTTTGTTCGAAAGAAATATTTTTCATTTCTGCAATAAACAGTATTTTTATTTCATTTTTAATAGAAATTAAAAAAAAATTGTGCGTACATTAAATATACTATTCAAATCATGAATTTTATTTACGCAAAAATAATCTTTAAAAGATATAAACAGAGGTGATGATCAGAAATCTTGATTTAGTTATTTGAAAAAATCAATATATCAATCTTGAAACAGAATAAAAATAAACCAGAGAAAAATGGATCTCTCATTATATTAGTGTAGTGTATATTCAATATAAATCTTTTAAACATAGTTTTTAAATCTTTTTCTTAATAACCCCTCTTGAAATTTCCATAAATTTATATATACTTCTATCTAAATATTATTCTCTATCATAAATAATAAGCTCCTTAAGGGAAGTCATCCAGATTTGAGATTTATTTTAAATTCTTTCTATTATTTTTCTGTATATTTTTCTATTATATTTCTATATATTCCATTATTATTCTATATATTTGTTTTATATGTTATTTATTTTAAATGAATACTTAGTTTTAAATTATATTATAGTTGTTCATTTTGTTAATAAAAAATTTATGACCCTTTTAATTAATATTTATTCACTAAACTAACATAAAAGAATTGCAACACTATACCTTCAATAAGTAATCGACATGTACAATAAGTCTAAAGAGGAATTAATCTAACGAGAATGCCATATAATTTCACTTTATGTGTGTCATTTCACATGTTTTGCGAGATCCTATCACTGTTTTCATTGTTGTTAATATTAAATAATAATAGGCTAATATACAATTCTATTGATACAATGAATATTGCGATAATGTATTGCTGATGATCAGTTTTTATAGAAATTTTTAGAACAATTTTAAGCTCGATAAATCATGCGTCATTTTATCAAATAGTAATAAATAACTATTTAAATATAAACTGTGAAATGTTGAAATTTGTTAATCCGGTTTTACGATACTAACATGCATGCAATTATTTCACATAATTCCGATGATTCAATAACTCTTTTCTTTTAATTTATTTTGAAACATACTGGGTAGTTGAATTAAAGGAAATTTCAAATACTGACGATGCAAAAAAGATTTTGAATAATTAAAGAATTTCACTTAGTTTCTATAACCATTTCCCGCATCGAATTTATTGTCATTATTTACTAATGTGCATGAACACGTAGGATATCAGTGATTAATTATGTTCTCTTAATCTTTATATACTGTTTCAAATTTCAATATTTTATTTATAATATTTTTTATATTTATATTTTAATATTAATACGTTTTGAAAAAATTAAATTTTCAACTTCATACAAATATTTGATCATTGGTACCTCGTAAAAATATATGTGAATAAGAATAAAATTCTATTTTTTATGTATAGTAGTATTTAACAGATCTGCCGTTCTGTTTTTCATTACACGAATTTTCTTTAATACATCATAAATTTTTTCAATTCTTTGTAGCCCAAATTGACCGTTTTATGTTCAACTACTTTTTTAATCTTCCATCATTTATTAAATAGTAATGGTATTTTATTAAATAATTTTAAGATGATGGTTTATTAACTATTATTTACTCAATAGAATAAACTTATGTTACGTACCCTAATTTCCGTTTGCATGTTAACTATTGTTTTTTTTTTTTTTTTTAATCAACATATTAATTTTCTTTATTATACTTAATTCCATACTGTAAATTACATTGTATTCGTATGCAATAATTATGGAGTTATTTTGAAACAAATTACACGTTACTACTCTAATATTTGTAGACAATTAGAATTTCATGAAGATTATTATTATGAAAAGAAAAAATATATGCAGCTTGCAAATCAGGTAAATTAAATGAAATTTTGCAGAAATGATAAATATAAATATGTATATTGTGCTAAATTCACTAAAAGGAATATTAAAAATTATATATATATATATATATATATATATATAGTATATATGCATTATTTAAAATAAGTACTTAAAAAAAATATTTTAATAATAGAATAAAATGTTACTGGAAATCCATTTATTTCATGAAATAGTGAAAAAATATCTCATAATGTTAAGTACAGCTTTTAATATTCTATTATAATAATTAGATTTCAAAATTTAATGTTGCAAACAATATACTCCATAGAAAAATAAAATTGTAATCACTTTTCAAAGTAACAAAGTAAAATTAAAAAGAAAACAAATTATGTGAGTATCATCTACATTAACAAAATTACATTCAAATAACGAAATTAGTTCGCAAATGGATATAAATTAAATTTGATATAATAATTTTTGCTATTTGGCAAACTATCTACTGTAAGTAACTAATTTTTTGTGCATATCATTCTTCGTTTCTGAAATCATGATTAGTCGTTATTCTACGATAAGCTTGTGAAACGTCACTCAATTAGAAAAAATTGCTTATTCATATTTACAGTGTAATTTCGGCAGATGCAATTAACGTAGTAAATTGTATATGTTAATTTAAGTGCCGATACATATTCATATGAAAATTAATAGTAAACTAAATATTGAACGTAACGAAATTTTTAGAAAAACATGGTAGACTACCACGGATGTTTAAGAGAATATAGTTTATTCGTTTAATGAATCTCAATTTTATGAAGTTTGCTAAAATTATCGTTTGTCGAGTATATATTGTATGTATGTTGAGTATATATATATACTAAAAACAGCGATTTGTCGCTTCAACTACAACAGTGAATTAAAAATGAAAAAAGTATGATTAGTTATCCAAAGGAATTTGATATTTAATTACCTGTAGATGAGCCTGACCGTCATTATCAATCCAACCGATGACAATGTCAATGCTGTCATGATCACTGTTGCGCATGAAACCGAAACCAATATATCCGGCCGTCTTTACGTGCACTTCGAATGTCACATCGTTATCGCCAGGTGTCCATAACATTAAGAAATTGTTATCAAGGAGTGCACTGTATTTCCACTCGATGCTGGAAACCAGTTGCGTCAAGATGATAAAAGCTAGCAAGATTTTATTGAGGCATGTAGCAACCAATAGATGCATTTTGTATCCTTTTCCAAGTTTTCCAGTAACACTTTCATTAGTCTTAATACTTTTCTTGTGCTAATTATTTTTATCCAGAACAGGAAAAAGATTATTTCTTTAAAATTATACACTGATTCATTATACCCGAGTATGTAATAGAGAATGATATTCCTTGCACTCTTAAGAAAATGTAATGTGCCTATCTGTGCTTGAATATTATCATGCATGCAAAATATTTAAAAAGCCAGGATTCATTTTGTTTTCTACTATGCTTATACTATGTTATTAAAAAATTGACTACTCATTTATACCACTGTCAAAACTAAATATTTTTTATGTACATAAACTGGATTTCTAAACAGATTTTTAAAAATTTGCCATTCAATCCTGAAATTATATTCATATTACTATCTAAATTTACTTAAGCAACAAAAAAAATATACAAAAATGTTTACATTTAGTAAAAAAAAATAAAAATAAATAAAATAAAGCTCAAGTTTTCATATTTTTTAAAAATATTAATATTTCACATATTTTTTCATTATTTATTATTTCAACACTAAAATTATTAAGTAATAAAATTAATGTATGTACTAAATTTACTTTTTATACTCGAATAAATTAAATTTGCCAAGCTATACTGTATTATAAAAATTATAAATATCTAAAAAGATTTGTACAAAAAACTTTTTAATACATTATAAATATATTCATTAGCTAAATTAAAATTTCTATCATTTTATATAAACTCATTTTAATGAATGAGATACTTTAATAAAAATTTAAATACACACATTCAATTTCTGAAATACAAATATATATCAAATTTATTTTTTAATATATAATATAATACACAATAATTGTCACATAACTGAAATTGTTTCAAAATTCAATTTGTTTAAAGTATAAATTAATAATATCAAATTGATTTATGTATATATAAATCATTTTTGAATTGCGTTTACTATATACAATAAAATCATTATTAAATATTACTCTGATCTTTAAAGTTTTCCATTAATGAATTAAATTTTTTATTGAAATGATACAGTATTCATAAAATGTAGAACAATCACATATAACTTATTTGAAATTTGTTTAATATCTAAAAGATAATTCCATTATATATACAATTTATTTAAGTTTTAAATAAAAATTTTTAAACATAAAAATTTAGTAAAATACAATATTGTTCTATCAATTTAATTATGTCAATTATAAGAATTAAAATAAATTTTATAATTTATGATTTTTGTAATAAAATGTAAAAGTATTTTTACTTAAATTTATTTTAATTAAGCACATTATTTGAAAATTTTTTGATCTTTTCTTTGATAAATATATACATTTTTATGTTAACATAATTGTAAAAAATCGTCCTAATACTTTTTTTGTAAAGACATTCAATTTTTTAAAATATTCTTTCAATTTCTTAAATTTAAAATTAAAATTGTATCCATTTTTGTGAAAATTCAAAACAATAGTTTTCACTTTAATTTATTGTCAGTTAGTTCTATAAATTCAAATATAAAAAATAAATATTTCGAAGATGATATGCATTTATAAAAAATACTTAATAATAAATTAACTAATTAAAATACTTTTAAAATCTATCTAGTTTAATGGAAAAATCTATTTCATCAAATGAAATGTTTTATTTAATACAATTTATTTAATACAATTTAATTAATATAATTTAATGTTTTCAACATATTAATTATAAATTCTATAGGATTGTAATTATTTTTATCAACCTATTTTAAAAAAAATTTCGTAAATTCAAATAATATGAATTTTTTATTTGAAACTTATATATAGAAGCAGAATTTTTATTTCTAATATCAATTATCGTTAACCTTGACAATTAAAAAAAAACATTGTTTTCACCTTTCCTAATTTCAATACAGAAATGATGATTCATCAGTCAATTAAACAAAAAACACAATTTGCAATATTCTTGTAGTAGTCCATCAATTGCATGTGATTAAAAACCCTAGCCATCACCAATCAAGAATAATCACATTGAACGACACTAAGTGGTACACTTAACTATGAGATCTCTATAGCTCCAGAATGGCGTGGGTGCATCCGTGTTTTTACTTGCGCATGCCTGAGATGTTGCGTTTGCGGCGGCTCTGCGTTATTTTATGTGCCCGGAATACGTTAAATGAGACTCGGAGAAATTAGTAAATGAATATATAAAACGTGATGTTCCACAAAGACTGTACATTTGTAGTAATTAGATGATCGAATATTTTTCAAATACATTTCAAAATGAGTTAATTGATTGTGATTTAATTAATATTTTTATTATTGTATAATTTTAGTATGATACAGTTGAAGAATTTTATATTGAGTTTGTCGTACAATTAAAAAAAAATAAAATAAAGAAAACAAAATTATTTTAAGATTTAACATAATTTTAGAGAAGGTCTATACTCTTATTGAATCTAAATATTCATTACAAAATGATTTTGTATTGTAGAGAATGACGCCTCCTAACAAGAAAATCGAACACATAAAAAACTCAGTTTGTACATAGTCCTATTCATTTTCGTTATTCTATTATGATGTTATTATTTCCGAAATTAAGATAGTCTAGATGTCTAGTATAGATTTATTTATATAATGACATATACATATATAAATATATATTATTTTAATCAAAATATACATATATTTTAACATGTACAGTTTATTTAAGAATTTTATTTAAGAATTATTTAAGAATTATAGTTATTTTAATTCAAGTATCGTTATTGAAAATTATTTAATGAAAGTACAAAAGAATAATAATGCGTTTTTGTCATAAAGAAAATTTTTTAATTTTTATTAAAAGAAAAAAAATTTATAAAAATATCAATGAACAATCTTTTATAATAAGTTTTAGCCCATAAATTGCAGCGTTTATAAATATATTGAACATAATCATCCTAATAAAATTATTTGTAGAATTTGAATATTTTTAAAATATATCAAATAATTATATTTTTTCATATTCTATAATGTAATATAGCTAAAGTCAAAATTCATTCTAATTAAAAATTAATCAATTTAAATTTTAATAAAAAAATTTATTTATAATTATAAAAACTAATATTTAAATTTGTAAACATTGAAAGTGTTTAGGATAATAATGTTAAATCATTCACTCCTTCGCAATTAAAATTATAATAATGTGCTAAATAATTGCTTGATGTAGTATCTCACAACGAGTTTACAATCACAGTTTTAATCTAAGTTTATACTTTTTAATTATAATTAATTGAAAAATATCTGCAAAAGAGACGTTTATAGAAAAAACAATTAATTCCTAAAAGATTAAGTAATGAAAAACTGAAAGTGAAGCGAGTAATAAAAAGCAAAGAACAATTTTTTGTTGATGAGACAAACTGTTTAAACTATATTACAGATAATTTTAAACGGTAGTTATTGTTTATAGTGAATCAACTTGTGTTTTATATCATTGTTGCAAACTATCATTAGTACCAATTTAATAGTACTTTAAACATATAATGTTGACGATTAACCCCGTACACTTCCATATTGATATATATTGATAGTGAGTTTTTTCTAATTTTTCAAGATATTCTTGATTTAAATAAAATGTGAAATATTTTATAAATTGACTTTTTCATATTAAACATTCACTCACATTTTAATATTATTATATTCAGTATGATTTTTATTTCGTTTATTTTGCTTATTTTATAATAAAATGTTCGATAAAAAATTGAAGCGAAAATATCAAATGATATTTTAAAAAATTTTAATTTAATTCTTCCAACTTGTTCATAAATAGAATAAAAAAATAATTAAATTACATAGATTAGATATCCAAAATATTGGCATGTAATAACGAAATATAAGTTTCATTATAAGTTTTATGAAAATGATTTATTCATATACTTTATATATTCTTATAAATATAGTTATTTTTAAAATATAATGAATCAAGGAAAAGTATAATCCTTTTAAAAATTGAACATAATATATAAAAGTCTTATTAATATCAATATTTAATTAACATTTAAAAATATTTCAGTAGAATAATTTATATTATTTAATGTGTCATTATGAATATTAATAAGATTTTTTCCAAATAGCTTACATTAAATTTTTAACGTAAATACAGTTTAATAGATCATAGTTTAAATCTTGTACATTTATAATTGTTACTTAATAAAATGTTATATATAAAATTAAAAAATGTTCTTAAAAATCTATACTATTCTTAACATGTAACTACAAGAGCCTTAAAATGTCAAATAAAACGGAAGTTTTGATAATACTATATATCTTTCTATTAAAAATTTATTTTTGTTAAAATAATAATTTGTTTTAACACCTTATGCAGTATAAATTAAAAGAAAGATCGTGTATATTAAAATTCAACGTATTGTTTGATGATTAAACTGGATTATAAAAAGTAATTTATTTTAATTGAAAATAGCTGTATCAATATTATAATTTAAAAAATAATTAATATTTAAAATTGAAATGCATGTTTTATTTTGTAATATAGATAACTTCAATGCCAAATAAACTACTCTTGTATTTTTCTAAATTGATTATTGAACTTTTTTTATTATATTATAAAATTCGTGATCTTTTATACAATTAGTAAACTTAAGTATATAATATAAAATATATAAAGCTGCAAAAGTGAGATTGGAAAAAATTTATACATTTAAAATGTGCATATTAAACTTATATATTATTATTATAATATATATTAATGATGTATTATTATAATTAATAATGATAGCTTTATTAATAAAGACAAAGTATTTGTATATAATTTGATAATTTATCATATAGTCAAAGAATTTGTAAGTGATTATCAGATATATACATTTAAACAATTTAAACTCTATTTTTCTTTTTCTTTCTTTCTTTTCTCAACTTTCTTTAATTTATTCATTAATTCATTTTATACGTTTAAATATCTCTGAGATCGAATTAGAGTTGCACTGTTAAGATTCCAAATATAATCGAATATTTTCAGGTCTGTTGTGTTTTAGTATAGCTTGTGCTTCGGTTAATATATTTGTAAAACAAATAGTAAACTAGATAGTACTTACAATTTTATTATAGTAATATTTTTAACAAACTATAAAAGTATTTCTTGACAAACAATATTTATATTTATAGAAGAAGAAACTTAAAATTTAAAGCAGTTTTTAATTACATCAGACATATCCTTAATAGTAATTTTTTAATGTATGTGTATAATATTTCTCAATGCTATCTTTATATGGAATATGTAAATGTCAAAATGTATCTTATTTTACAAACGGTTAAATGCAATCAAAATTATACTCTATGATATCATTATAATATCATTGTTAGTTGAATGACTTTTTGCAATATCCATTTATAAATATTTATTGCATTACAATATTAAAAAGCTATCTTTTAAATAAATATTTAAAATCGTTATAAAATTACTATTCTAAATTATGATTTACGAAAAAAATGTGTAGAATAAAGTATGAAGTTTCAAAATAATAATAAAATAATTTAACGAAAATTATAATACTTTATATAATAGATAATATAAATTTTTCTATTATTTGTTTAAACTATTTTAAATAAATATAAATATTTTCAAATTGTACTATATAATTATTTTATTGAATATAATATGAACTTTAATTTCTTAGAATACATTTATTGATTTATGTGGCAATAAAAATATTAGGGGAAAATTCATATATATATATATATATATATATATATATATAAATTTAAATATAAAACAATATGAATTTTATTTTATAACTATATAAAGTTAATAATCTTTATTTAAATTTTTTAATATTTATATGCCACTTAATAATATTTAACATAATAAATTCGCGTACACTATTTAAAATAATTTATAATTAGAGATCATAATAAATTATATTATTTGATAATAAAATATAAGCCTATTTGGGAACACTTGGCTGCCGTGTGAAATTCATTGGAATCCTTTAAAAATCCATGAAATTACTTTTATTCGATATTTTATTATTACATTTTCAATTTTTATGAAAATTTTGGTTTTGTTATAATGTTATAAAATAAAAGAATGCCGTCTGAAAACCTTTTTAAAAAACGGCATGGTCAAAACTGTATGTTAAGAAAAGAAATGCAGAGGTTTAACCCAAATCTGCAAGATTTCTAACTTGTCTAACAAACCGGCTATTATCCGTATTCTAAGAAATCATCAAATTTCTCAGTAGTTAGGGTCAAACCATTACCTGAGAAAATATGTCGAGACAATCTCGTAAATACAATGATTAGAAAGTGGGGCAGCGGGAGCTTCCTTCAACCTTAGGAACTCTTTTGTGAAACTTAATTTATTTTTATATTACGCCTATGCTACGAGGTTTTTCAAAATTCGTGTTTATAAATGGCGAAATGCTGTAGAACTTTCTATTCATAATTTATTTTAATTTATTAATATGACCAGAAAATTCGATCTTTCTATCATACATTTACTATTGTAAAATGCAATGAGACTACATTAGCGTATTTTGGTAAGTAAAAAGTATCGAATACTTTTAGTATGAACGTTTATTATTTTTGTCTGTATCTAAACGCAATTTTTTATTATTATTGTATTTCTATAAACAGTTGAAATTGTAGGTACTTAATCCTTTAGTGAATTTTCTGGAGTAACAATAGCAGTTGATTTGAAAATAATAATGCAATGTTCCCAATTTTCAAAAATTTTTAAATAAGAGTAAATCAAACATCATATAATCAGTTGATTGTAATATATCATTATTTTTATCTTAATTTCGCTTATTATGAATGATAATTGTAACAATTATGATAATACTCATTTTTTTAAATAATGCAAAGAAGTATTGTATAGAGCGTATATATATATTTTAATATTTAAGA